GCTGCCTGCGCCGCGGTCTGGCTCTGCGCGGAGCGCGTGGGAGACGTGTGAGCGGTGGCCGCCTCCGGGCTGTGGTTCCGGGAGCGACCGCACGCCAGGCAGAGGGGGTGGCCACCTGAGCGCGACCCCAGTGCTCAGCGGACACATGTAGTGGCTTAGTGATCCAGGTGAGCGCGGGGCACTGTGAGTGCCACGGCTGGTGGGTGTGTGGCCAGGGGCGCGCGGTGCGCGGCGCAGGGTACGGGGTGCGCTGCGCAGGATACGGGCTGTGCGGTGCAGGGTACAGGGTGCGGGTCACGGGGTGCGGGAGCGAGGTGAGAGGTACGCGGTACGTGGCGCGCCCTGCGAGGTGCAGGATACCTGGCGCGCGGTGCTGGGTGTGCGGTATGAAGTGCGCGGTGGGCTCTCTCTCGCCAACCCCGAGCTGCCGGCGGCAGACTAGCCCGCGCCGCGGAGCCTCCTCGCGTCCCGGGGCTGGCCGGGCTGGGCGCTCTGTCGCGGACTGCGGAGCTCCGGGAAGGCCGAGGCGGGTAGGGGGACACGAGGCGCTTCGGCTCCAGGAGGGCGAGCACTGAGGCAAGGAGAGAGGCACCGGGAAGCCGGTGCGCCCCGGGCTGGGCAGCTGGTGCGCGCCGCTGGGCTCGGCGAGGCTTCGAGGCCCGACTCCGCCCTTGGTTCTAGGGATCTGGCGAGGCGACCGCTCCTCCCGTGGGTGAAACTTTCGCCCCTCGGTGATCCCGGAGCGCAGCCCGGCCAGCCGCTTGTCCCAGCAGCTCCGCAGGGGAGGGGGGCCGCTCTGAGAGGGGTCTAGAACCGGGACCCTGGGGCGAGAGGGTGGCCTGAGAAAGGAGTCTCCAGCGCTGGGAGCTTGGAGCTGTCGGCCTGGTGTGAGGGCGCCCCAGCTCCCCTCGGCCAGACCAGAGGCTGGGCCGGATGGGGTGGGGGCAAGGGAGGAAGATGCTGGGGCAGTGTCTCCCCACTCTCGAGGGCCTGCCTGGCTCCCTCTGCGCCCAGTGCTCAGAGATCCAGTGGGGTGACCTTTCCAAGCGTATCCTTATCATTGCCAGGAGTGAACGAGCAGAGGAAAAGGCCTGGAGGAATACCACCGGCTGCTATCCCCGGATGGATACGGGGAGGAGGAGCCCTACGGGGGCCATCTCTCCTCCACTGGAGGATTTCCACCTTTTACGGTTTTTTGTTTGTTTTCTTACGAGGTACAACCTGCACACAGGAAGCACAGGACACAGCCACAGTTCCTTTGTGTGTGTCTAAGACCGGGTACGGGGGCCTTGGTGGGAAAGTGGTTAAGAGCTCAGGCTGCTAACCAAAAAAAAGGTCGGCGGTTCACATCGACCAGCCGCTCCTTGGAAACCCTGTGGGGCAGTTCTCCTCTGTCCTGTAGGGTCTCTGTGAGTTGGAATCCGCTCGACGGCAACAACAACGACACAGCTGTGTACAGGTGCGGTGGTGCTTCGGCGATACAATCCTCTCCAACCACGAGAGACCCAAGTTCGATTCCCGACCAGTGCACCTCATGCACAGCCACCACGTGTCTGCCAGGGGAGGCTTACGTGTTGCTGTGGTGCTGAACAGGTTTCAGCGGAGCTTTCAGACTAAGACAGACTAGGAAGAAAGGCCTGGTGATCTACTTCCAAAAATCAGCCATCACAACCTGTCTGCTCCCGTTGTGCGTAGGGTCACCATGAGTCAGGGGCCGACTCCACAGCAACTAACAAGAACACACCTGTGTAATCACCCCACCCCACCCCAGATCATGACACAGCACATTCCCAAGCTCCCAGAGGGTTCCGGTACCTCCTAACAGCTGAGTGTCCCCAGGTGACCATTGCGCCGACCTCCGTATGGTACATAGTTTTGCCTGTTCTTGAACTTCATGTAAGTGGAATCAGTGTGCACTCTTCAGTGTCCAATCTTGTGCTCAAAATAATGTATGAGTTTCATCCACGATGTTCCCTGTAGCAGTCACTCCATCGTCTTCATTACTCCGGAGACTTCTTGTGGCGATGTCACAGCTTGTTTATCCACCCTGCGCTGATGGAAGTTTGGGCGTTTCCAGCTCCTGGCTATATTCTCATTCCTCTCTGTGGGCATTTGCACTCCTTTTCTGAGAGTGGAATTGCTGGGTGAGAAGGTACACACATGTTCAACTTTGCTAACAGTGCCAGGCTGTTTCCCATTATTTTAAGTTCCCACCAGCAGTGGGTAAAATTTCCAGTTTCTCCTCATCCTCATCAACGCTTCTTAGTCTTTTGGATGATAGCCATCCTAGTGGGTGTGAAGTAGTATCTCGTTGTGGTTTTGATCTTCATTTTCCTAATGACTCATGATGTTGAGCATCGTTTCCTGCGCTTGCTGGCCACTTGACACCGTTGTTTGAGACGCTCCTGTTCAAGTCTTCTGTCTCTTTTTAAACTAGGTTGTCATTCTTCTTTATTGACTTACAGTTCTTTTATATATTCTGGTTACTGACATATATATCAATATAGTATACTGTATATTAGATATGGGTGTGTACATAGATGCATGTGTGTATATATGTATTCATCTGGAAAAGATTATCCAAATATTCAAATAATCTTTTCCCAGTCTGTGGTGATTTACATTTTCACTGTCTCAGTAAAGTTCTTAATTTTAACGAAGATCAATCTTTTCATTTATTACAAGTGCTATTTGTTCCCTTAAAAAACCATCGCCTACCGCAAGGCCATGCAGCTGCTCTCTGTTTTCTTTCCTGACTGATTGACTGATGGAACCTTTTACATTTGGGTCCATGACCGTCTTGAATTAACTTTTGTGTATACTGTGAGGCAGGGATGAAGGCTCATTTTCTCCCATGTGGGTGAATGGAAATTACAAGGGCCTTCCTCTCCTCGCAAACCCTAGTGGTGTAGTGATTAAGAGCTATGGCTGCTCACCAAAAGGTCAGCAGTTCAAATCCACCACGTGCTCCTTGGAAACCCTCTGGGGCAGTTCTGCTCTGTCCTATAGGATGGCTATGAGTCGGAATTGATTCGACGGCAAGGGGTTTGGTTTTTTTTTTCTCCTC